CCCCAAAACCCCAAAACCCCAAAACCCCAAAACCCCAACTTCCAATGTAAGACTTGAATAAGAAAATATGTTATTAAATATGTATATAAATTATTTATAAAATGAAGTCTTGGTTCATACAATTAACTCTAACTCTTCTAACTCTAGAGTTATACTACTGTAGCGATTATAGAAGCTTACTGTATTACAGAGAACCTATCCCCGACCTTGGTAAGCCAATGTAATGACCTTTATAGTAATTCAAGAAAATGAGGTGATTAGACTCCGTCTCAAAGATTATTTTGGAGGGTCTTTCCTGCAATATACCCTCTCAATCCCGGATGCTGAGAAATATCAGCTCGATTCCTCATTTATAGAGATCCCTCAAGAGAGCTATAAGATGGTCACTAGTGGAACCTATAATATTAAGAAGCTAACAGATTCATTGTTTGACACTACAAGGTTGCTAATTATTCATGAACCAGGCAAACAAGAAAAGAAGTATATACTCTCTATTTCAGAAGATTTTTATATCAGGATTCTTGACTTCACAAATATCAAAACAAATGCTGAACCTAGTAGAGTCATGATTCAGACCGAGGATGATCAAGAAGAGTGAGCTAATCTCCTCAATGATTTTTGGGTAGATTCGTCTCCCAACAATGGAGTTCAAAGAGCATACAAACTCAGTCTGATCTTCTCCATTAGGAAGATTATTGGATTCAAAAGTATCAGAGATGTAAAATGTAATGGAATAAACACAATCATAATGGCAGAGTTATATACTATTGGCTGTAGGTATAAGTCTACAAGCTTCCTTCTTTGGATGAAAATGAGCTATAAATAAAGAGTTCATTATCAAAGTAATTCCCATGCTTTCCTATTTTGATGTAGACCCAACTGGAAAAATATCCATAGCATCTTCGGTGATTATGAATAAGCTTTATCTCTTCGCAGCAACTGCACATAAGAATAATATTCTGCAAGCCTCAGTGTATGATATTTCAAGACTTGAAAAATCAAAGATAACACATCTGAAAACTTTTGAATACACAAAAGATGATTTTCTGAACTCTTCTGAGCAAGGTCCTCTTGAATTCGATTTTAACCTTAGAGAAGCAGTCCATTTTACAACAAGGTCGAAGAACAGGAAGGATAAAGAAGGGCCTCTAGAAGAGCATCATTTGATATTAAGTTGCTACAACAACGGTCTGATCTTTTTCAGGATCAGTTCAGAAATTCCCATAACTACAGAAGGAAATGACTCTCCAATTTTAGAACTAACTTTCAATTATCCAAATTCAGGCACTGTGAATATTTTCTCAGAGAAGGCTTACAGAAATAATAATAACTGATTTACTTTCTTCACGAGCTTCACATCACCTCCAGTTGTCATTGAATTCAGGATAGATCTGGACAACAATGTCAACTTATACAGAACCTACAGAAGTTTTGTAGATGAGCTCAGGTACGAGAGCCTAGACTTAATCACAAGTAATGAGAAGTATGTAGCAATGTTGATTTATGATAACAAATATCGAGAAAATGTAATCAGAGTTTTTAACAGAGAAGAGACTTACTTTGCAATAGGTCATATAGACATCCCTCTTAAGGATTTCTTCCAACCTATCACGAGCATCCTGTTCCTGACCTTTCACCAAGATATTATCTTTGTCAAAAATTCTGAGAAGTGGGAAGTATATGAAATTATGGATTCCGAGTTAGTGATCGATACAATGAAAGATCCTGATAAGTATCAACCCTGGATTAATATGACCTACAATATAACTATAGAGGCTTGCAGTAGTATTAGCTGAAAAGGACACCTCAGACAAAGTTTTACAATTAGATGTCTTGATGGTTACAATATGGGAGCATATCTCACTACTGTAAATTCAAAGAGCTTGATTTACCCTTACAATCACCACCAATTTACATTCAGAATCTCAGAGTATTTTACAGGACCTGATCTTCGGTTCAACATTGACTTATCTCCACTTAATTATTTCAATGACTCTTTGGTTATGCCAATAGTTTTGAACCCTTTTGAAAAGGCAAACATCACCTATGATTATGAGACAATATCAGAGTGTACCAATAATGTATGCAAAACATTTGAAGACCAAGCCACTGGGAAAGTTAGTATCCTAATATCTTGCATTAAAGATCATATCGTAGATCAGCATATCTTCAGAGCAAGCGATATGAAAGAAATTCATCGAAGCATGAAGCACTACAAGAACTCAAAATTTGTTGGGTATTTCAGATCAGGAGATACTTTCAATTATCAGAAATATGATGAGGTCCTCATGATCCTCAGCCATGAAAGGAGCGAAACTGGGCAGAAATACGTCTTCCATGTGTTCATTTTGATTGATAAAGGATACACAGTTTGGGTTGATAAATTTATTGCAAGAAATCAAGGGAATACTCTTAGAGAAAAAGTACCTGCAATAAAGCTAAATGATTCTCCTTATATTGCTTTAATAGACAAATCAGAGAAGATTGTCATATTTACCTCTGATTGAGACATAAAATCTGATGATTTTGTGTATAAATCTCCTAAAAAGGTCAAAAATATCTACTTGACATCTGATGATTTCATGTATTTTACATATTCAGACGAGAAAGTAATCACAAGACTGAAGTTCTACAAATATACCAACCAAGGGTCTTCCAAGACTTTAATCTTTGTAGAGAAATTAGGGGATATACCAATTGGTTACAAATATCATACAGTTGATATATTACCAAATGGGCTTTCAATAGTATTCAGCCAGAACAACACAATTGAAATCTTTGGAGTACAAGAGGAAGTTCTTCAACCAAAATTTCATCGTAGACTTCCTCTCTTTGTGTTTAAAAACTCTACAGAATTCTGGATGAACGAAGGTGAGCTATATCCTTTGTACCAGATTGCTGATGAATATCTGTTCGTGATCTTTGGCCAACCAAAATATCTCTACGTTTATAACTTATTAGAACATGCTCATAACTCTCTGGTTACAAGGATGAAGCTAGATCCTTCATATAATGATTTGGATACTTATCTAATCATAGAGAATGTAAAGTTTACCTCTTCCTTTTACCTCTTTGTATTCTATGGATCTGAAAAATATGAGGTTATCCTCTTCGAGCCTAATAACTGGATGTTAGGAGATATAGATAATGAGTCTAATCTGTTTTTAAATCAGACAGAAATTGAGACTGCATTTTACCCTGATAAAATAGTCAATCTAACTCTAACTCCTTTCTATGCAAACGAATATCCTCATAAAGAGATTTATCCTTTGAATTTATCGATGAATTGCACTAATAAGGGGCTAAAGATTCAATCAAGACATAAGGAAGATCTTATAGAGATAGCTCAGAGCCAAGAGAACATTACTTTCTCATTGCTTGATTACTTCGATGGGTTTAATATGAGTTACAATTACGATATTTTGCAAGGATCTGAGAATGAAACCAAAATTTATATATCAAAAGAAGACCATCAATCATATTATCTGAATCAAGACACAGTAGGAAGGCATGCAAAAGCTGCTTTTATTTATAACGATAATGACCTTTTTGTGTTCTATTCCTCCAGTACCCAAATTGATGTAAGAAATTATCTATAATCTTTTTAGCGATACAATATTTTAGACCCGATTAATAGCTACAAGTCAATAGAAAATTTGCCTATTTTAGATAACTGAGAGCTTGATTACCTAAAATACTTTAAAATTAACGAAGACCTCGACCAGCCAGCAGACTCTATAGAAAGAGATCTTCTTGTGGTCAACTGTATGGTCACCAAAAACGAAGTCGGATCTTCATTTGAAATAAGATTCTATGAGTTCAAAATTGATGCTGAAAATGAACCTCGGGCTGATTTCTTAGCCAAAGTAGGAATCTCAATGCATGTTAAAGAGATACAGATCAGGAGATCTACAGGAAACGATGGGTATTTTCACATCATAGTCCTATCAGAAGAGACTTTCAAATATGACTCGACTCTATTCATGCTAATTGTAGAGTATGATGTCGATAAGCCATTCTCTCTTTTGCGTTATGAAACGTTCACAGGATCCCAGATTGGGTTTGATAAGTTCGTAGTGGAATCCTTCGCCTTCATTCCAAACCAACATTACTTTATTGTAGGAATAAATGACTTTGGAATGGCTGTTTTTGATACGTCCAGAATCGAAGTCGCAGATGTAATCATTTTCAAAAACCTCTTTGATGATTTTTATGATACGTTCTCTGTTGTATCGCTCATTCCTACAAGTGAGAATGAAGTTAGAGTCATGCTAAGAAACCAAGAAGCCTTTACAATCTATTGGGATGACCTTGAGCTATCTCCTATCGATGGAGGAGTCTTGTCAAATGTAACAGGAACTCAGAGATTTGTCAATGTTCCATCACAGATTGCTACAAATTTGGTGGATTATTCAGCTCATTCTGTCGTTCAGCTTATTTGTTATATTCAAGAAGGAGGATTTTTTAAAGGATTTATAAGGGTCTATAACCATATGAACAGAAACAATACTAAATCTTTCAGAGAGTATCATATTGGAAGAGTACCAAAATGAGCATTTGTTCACTATAACAGTCAAATGGAGAGAATCGTAATAATCTGTGGAGATAGGTTCTATGTATACAATATGTTCATTTATCCTTTTCTTAGCATCAAAAATACAAATGGAGCATCAAATTTGAAGGTCAAGATAACAGCCGATAATCATTGCTCTAATCAATCGTTAAATATTCATTTAATCACCCAAGATCATGGAGTTTTTGTATTGAAAATAATTGTGGTCGCTACCACAATAGGATCTGTGATACTCATAATAACTCTTCTCAAACTATTCTTCAGATTCTGCTGTCTCCGGAACGATACCGATGAATCAAGTATCGGAAGTATCCATTTCAAGCAGGAGAGAACTTCTGATAACAACATTCCTTATGGGGAGCTCTCTTCCATGAAGAGAATAGGATATAGTGCATTGATCAATGAGACCTACGAGTCAGACACCCAGACTAAAGAGAATACTCTATACCTTAAAGAAGAGAATGATCTCCTTTCAGATAAGTAATAATCATTTATTCTATAAATTATATATTCGGGGTTTTGGGGTTTTGGGGTTTTGGGGTTTTGGGG